GAAAATAGCTATCGAAACGTCAAGGTAGTTTTTCAAATTAATTTCTCTACTAATTGGAATTTTCTCTTACAGCTTGAGCCTAAGTGTGTCGCAGGATACCCTCTAGGTGATAGTTTTTGGTTACTTTTTGATAAATAATTCGTTCTTATTGCGAAATAGGAGCACTATTTATCAATCTGTAATAAAAGACGTGAGGAAATTCTGTCTTTTTTAAAGACAAAAATTTTTCAGGCGAAATACCCAAAAAGAAGTTTGTAAAAAATGAATCCGCCTCAACAATATAGAACTTATCTATACATTACGAATGTTTCAAATTGTTTAAATCATGTGCGTTTTACTTAACTAGGTTGCCAAAAATAACAAATGACAGATACATTTCATATTCCATTGACTTGGGGGAATATTTGAACCTGATGATGGTTAATAGATTCGAAACTTTGAGAATAAAGGACTTGATCTTATGCGTATTTTAGAATCAATCTAGCGTAACTGAAACTCTGTTTGAAATTATCATGTCTGGCAACTATACCATAGGACTTGAGTAAAAAATTTCAACGATAGTGATATCGTGCTTGCTTCTCTTCAGTATTATCTGCTATGGTAAAGATAGAATAGTTATTTCAGCGGTAGGTATGAACAATGATGGATTTGGTAAGCCACCATCTTTTCACATAAAGGAGGACGATCATGGTGGATTTCATTAAATAATTGAGGTGTTTCCTACTTAGATCGCGAAAACTCGTCGTTAAAAGTGTCGCGGACAGACAAAAACAATTAAGTCAGTTAAGTTATGATATATTCCAGACATCTTTGGAAAATAAATATTTTTCTTAAGGACAAAATATGTTATGACTTTGCAAAATACTAAGTCGTGAGTAAAATCCAAGAAACTAAATGCATAAATCTTCTAAGAAGCACATTTTATAGATTAGTGCTTGCCACAACTTTATACGGCAAAAATGACTAAGTGCGTTCTGGGCCACATTGCTTTCTTTCCTTTATGTAATAAGTTATATTAATTATCGATGATTTTTATTTAAATAAGCCAACGACACAAATTTGGTAATTGTGTATGTACGAATATGTTGTAAGGCACGATTCTTTTGATGATAAAAATCACAGATGAAGATTAGCTCAACATTGAAGTCAAACCAACATAAATATTGAATGCAAATTGTGGTTTATGGGTGGCACTTTTCAAGTCATCCATATTGAGACGAAGTGAAAAATGATTCGAATACAACACAAGTGTTACGTGCATGGTAAAAGTAACCATTTTAGGTACAAGCAAACCTTACTGATTATCTAACTCAATGACATAAGGTACAGGAGAACCCATAATTTAAATGATATTTTCCCATCCTCGATAGGAATCTTCTAAAGTCGTGCAAAATGATTCGATTTAGATGCGCTTCTCAACCGCTTGCGTTTGATGGCATGTGCGAGTTTACGGTACTTTACTTTTAATCTATTGCCGTGTACTTATTCAGATTAACGTAAATGTTGATTTGAGCGCATGTGGAATGATAACGATATTTTCTAAGTTAATGAAACTTATTCTTTTTCAGAATTGTTAGGCAATCCAGGAGCAGTACAGTAACTTGTTATCTAACTCAGGTATCTGGATGTATATTATATTAGTCATTGAACTAAAACACGCCAAAAACATTAACAAAATAATAAATTTTGGCCATTCTAAGAGAGCCAACAAGTGTAAGGTCTTGTGACCGAGTTGGACCATTTCTAAAGTCATATGGAAGATTGCTGAATATACAGTAATTTATAGAGTCCGGATTAAAAAGCACTAAAATCCTCGAAAAAAGTGTTTAAAACGAAAGTTAATTTCTCAAAAAGGATAATAATATGTAAAAAATTATTCTTTCGGTGGGGTAAAAACATATATATTTTTTAATTCTTTAAACGAAATGTAATGTATTTATTCTAAATAAGGCCGACAAACAAATGAGTTATTATTATTTCAAACACGAAATGATGAAATATTCATGAAAATGTTCCATTGTAAAATGTTGCCGTCTATCACTAAGAATATTTTTATCAGTAGAAAAACTTTTTGCCATTACTGCACTTGTTAGAGGTGCATATCTAAATTTTGATACCATTACCGAATCCATAATTGGGTTTTGTAAAATTTCTCCATTTAAAACCGAAGAAATATCTTTCAACTGCTGTTTGAATATCAGACATTTAGCTGCAAGATTTCATGTTTTTCGTCCCGTTTTTGCTAATTTCTCGGAAGCAAAATGAGCAAGAACGCTCATTTTTACATCATTCCAGAGAGCATTCACTAAATGGCATTTTTAGAAAGTGACCCATCGATCAGAAAATGTGGGCCGTTTTCTCAAAAAAGTTTTGATTTCAAGAAATTTTCGATTTGCGTGTTTTTTTCTTGACTTGCAAAATCGACATAAACATAATGATGCTTTTTTCTCAAGGACCTTTTGAGTCACAGAATTTGTTTTGTCATCGTTGGATAGAAAATTGAGGATTCGATGCAGTCATAACAACTTGAGTGAGGTCAATTCAATCATAACAACTTATTCGTTAAAATACTGCATTTATGCGTAATGTCCGTTTGCCCTTAAATTCCTTTATTTTTATATAGTTTTTCCAGAAAATATCCTATTTTGTCCGTCACTTTTGGAATAAATAGCAAAATTGTTTCACGTGTTGTTTCTGTTTATGTAGATCATTTCGTTCTTAAATCTCTCAGAACTCTTTGCATGCTCAATATTGTTATACACGTTAAAGTTTTAAGAGAAAATGTTGGAAATGAAACACCTTTGTAACGTTTAAT